CGAAATCGGACATATTGGATCGCAATTAGTACATTCGAAAAAATCAGATTCTCTTAAGAAGTGAAAAACTAATTCCAGTTTCGTTCCAAGATAATCAAAAATTGGAATAAGAAATAATATTGATAATATAATTATAAGTGAAATTAAATTTCTGAAAACATCGGAAATTTTGGAAATTAATTATCGGATCGGAAATTGAAATCTCGTGTGTGTGTGTGTATATATATATATATAACATAAAAAAATTCCGATCCATAACAAAATCGGAATTAAAAAATATTGTTCCAAAATTTTCCAATTTTGGATCAAAATCGAAAATTATGTTCCAATTTGGACATATATAGATCCAATAATGGCAATTAAATCTGGAATTGGGCCGATTAATGTAACCAAATAAAATATAATACCTTATTACCATAAGCCCAATATCCTGCAATTGCCGTAGGAAATAAACATAGCGCCACAATGAAATACGCACCGCGAATCCCTGTCCACATCGGCACTCGAGATGGCCTCTTTTCACTTGACGGCATCGTCGCCTGCAGTAGTCAACGTTTACGAAATTAATATTATTATATTGAAAATAGTTTCAATTTTGATTAATTTGCATAACTAATTTAAAAATAAAATAAAAATGGAATACCTGGATTTCAAGAGTGACGTTGTGACCTCTGAAAGCAAAAGCAACGATGCCGAGCGCATTCAGAATCCCGAAGAACCACTCCGTGTTGGTGTTGGGTTTCACGCGCTCGTACGACACGCCGGTGAGCCTCCCCTCCGTGACAGACACGCACCACATGAAGGTGCAGTACCCGATGGCCGTGGCGGCGCCGACCAGCGATACGCCGGCGACGGAGTTGAGGTTGGGTAGCTGGGAGAGGAGCACGGCGGCGCAGGTGAAGACCAGGTACCACTCCACGGTGGTTAGGGGCTTGGCCGTGCAGCCGTGGCCCCCACAGACTATCTGGTAGAAGAGTTTCGTGGTGGACCCGCCCACCACTATGAGTGCCACGCACGTGCCGCCTGATAAGTATAAAATTGGAAACAGGGCGAATATTTTCCCCATTCTCTCTCCTGTTGATTAACAACGCTAATTAATTAATTGCCAAATTATTATACTAATAATCATGGATAATTAATTGATTAATTACAAATTCATTAGTTTAGTATTTTGTTATGTACCGAAAGTAGCATTGAAGAGTTGAGAAACGGCTGTAACGATTCGTTATCACTGGATCATGGAGATTGGTCAAATCCAGAGG